GCCCGGTTCACCGATGTTAGCGACAGGTGAGATTGCCAAAGAGGGCTCGGCAAGCCAAGGCCAAAGACGCGTGTAACACTAGGGCGCAGACGGGCCAAAATACAGCGGTTTTGTCAATGCTGTCACACGACTTGCCAGCCGAGCAGAAAATAGACGAGCGACGTATGATGAGGCAGACGTATCCCTCGCTGCGGTGACCGAGACAATCGTAACGGTGCTCCATCTTGTGACGCACTATATGCTGAAGAGTACGGCTGTTCTGGCGGAAATGGAGGCCAATTTCTTGGCTGGCGAGAGATCTGGAAGCGTTGCAAGATTGATTGATTTGCGAACGATTGCACCTCAGCTTTCGTCGCGAACGTTCCTTCTCGCTGCCCTATGAATTTTCTCTAGCAACTTCTTGCGTATGTCGTCCTGACTCAAGCCTTGGAACTCCGGACAGAAAGATATCTCCTCGTGTTTGATGGAGCCACCGTCGTCCTGTGCCGAGCAGGACCAGTAACGCAGCTGCCCGCTTGTATTGAGGCATCCATACGCAGCTTGCCGCTGGGCGCCCGAAGACCCTAGCTAGCCGACTTCTGCGTACCGTAGACGCGTAAGCCTTCCAGTCGGTACTATTGGGAGTGGTTTTCGTTTCGCTCTGTGCTTTTTGGGCGGTTGTCGTGAGGATCGCTTTCTGTCGTGCGGCTGTAGTCGGGGACGTTGGTGCAGTTCGGGCCGAGCTGCTGCTTTCGGGACTATGAACGTGTCAGCGCCTATTCGCTATGCCCATACAAGACGTACCTGGTCTTGAATATAGGAAGATCACGTCGTTGCCGGAGTCGTGGCCCAGTGGTAGTGTCCTCGTCGTTGCGGATTCCGCGGCTTTTGGTAATGCGTTTGTGGTAGATGGTGATGTGCTCTACGCACTGGGCCTCGAGCCTAGACATATAACATCATCGTAGTGATTCTCATCCAAACTCAACACCGTCGTCCTTGTTGCCGATGCCATATCCATCGACTAGGTGTCTATGGTCTGTGGTCTATGATGCATGCTGATATGAAGTTGCACGAGGATCGCCACCCCAAAGGCTGGTGTATTCGACGGGAGGTCAAAGAAGCTCGGACCACGTCAGCCAACCCGCCCTACACCAATCAAGGCAGGCGGGATTCAGTCTCCCTACCTCCATGCTGTCTGTTCTTGCAGCAATTACGTAGGCCGGTCTGAGAAACTCTCCAATTCACGCTGTTTCTGGACACACGATTACTCTCAGGGCATCCATGGAATTGGCCCAAAGTCAACGGCTACCTTGCTTGAAAGGCTGAGCAAAGGATCAGCATGCCAGCCATCATCAGGAAAGAGCATGCTAAACAAAACAGCGTGACGGAGTGCTATATTCGCAATGCACCGACGAAGCGCAGCGGCATGGATCCGCCTGCAGTGATGCTGCGTTTTAAGATAAGCCTCAGCCAAAATTGTTCTTCTTTGCTACACTACGCATATCAATCCAGAGGAAGCGTCATACATCCTTTCCTTTTCTACCAAGCGCACGTCCTACCGCTTCAATCTCGGCTGCTTGCGGCTTGCGCCCTTGTCTTCGTCGTCGTTGTCATCCCGTCGCCGTTTCTTACGATGATCAGAGGTGCCGAAGCACTGCTCGAGCTTTTGGCTCCGCACCAGCTGCTGCACGGTAAACGGCGAGCCAC